TGATTTACATCCAAATGGGTCACAGACATCAATGCAGTATTATATGGGGAGAAAAAGGGAATGAAATGCTTTTAACATGAAAAATATGCTGTTGCATGTAGGCCAACTTTTGTTCTCTTTCTCTCAATTTATCTAGGATTTGGGTGGGTTTAATTCTAGGGCCAAATGCAGTACTGGCATAAGTGAGCGCAACTCCATTAGTGTCAATGGACTCTCAACGTTTAAGTCAACAGTGAACTTAGATCATTGAATTTTTCCCATGTTTGGGCTTGCATGTTTCCTGCAAGATAATATACATATGTACTGCACATATGCTGCACATATGCACATAAAAATTCACTGGGGAGGACGTTTGGCTCTATGCTTTTTGACTTTATGTATAGAAACTGCAATCAGCTTATGAATTTTTTGCTTCTCCTGTAGCTAATGTGCCATGCATCTGTAAGGATCAGCCGTGCAGAATGCCACGTTGCAAGTAAAATACCTAGTAGCAAAGGCAAGCATGAAATTGCTTTTCTTTCCTCAGTCTGTAGGACTGCACATGCACACAAATCTATGTGATTAATTCGGAGAGATTTTTCTCCCCTCTGTTATCATGAAGTTGAACACTGCCTTGAACAGAGGGATACGTAGAAATACTACAGATGCTTATCTTTGGAGTGAATTGTAATATTTACTCAGCTGCAGGCCTCAAGCTTAGCGTATGCCATGAGGTCTGCTTGCCTCTTAGTGCCTGAAGAGTAGGAAGGCCAAGGCAGGGATGTCTCATTCTCTGCGATGCTTCCTGCAGCATTTGGGGTGTTGGTCTGGTCATCAGGTTTGAGAAAGATGCGAGTGTTGCACTTTCCTAGGATCACTGTAGCTTAGGTGTCCTGAATATAAACCAAGACCCAGCTGCGTTGGGAGAACAAAGCTGACAGATGATCTCTACCCCAAACTTTTACTACAAACGTGAGGCAAAGGTGACAGGCACGCACGAGTAAGGAGTTGTGTGAACTAGTCAAAGGTTATTGGGCATCCAGAGGCCAGGTGTCCTCAACACGTGAGGAGCCCGCGTTTGTGGGCACCATATACTTCCCTCCTGTATTTAAAGGCGATAGTAATCTAATCTTTGTTTGGTGTTTTTTTTTTTTTTTTAGATTGAAAGGCCTTGATATATCCTAAGAGTGACTTTTCCAGTGTGCCTTCTGCCCAGCAAAATGGGGTGTCCTTGTATTCTCAGTATCAAAAGAGCTAAATAACGTTTGTGGTGAGAAGCAGAGGACACTGGCCTATGGGACAGTATGAAATGGAATTGCTAGGAAGAAAAGTAAGGTTCTGCCCACATATAAAACTTGACCCTTCTCTGCGAACATTATCCCTGTGAATAATTAGAAATCTGCATTCAGGCTTCCCACTGTGTCCCATCCCTTAAGGACACACCCGCTGTATTGCTTTACACGGTGCGGCAATGCACAGCGAGATTTACATATATATCACATAAAAGTGTTTACAAAAAAAATTAGCATGTGATTGAGCTGGAAAGCTGCAGAGGGCCCCAACTGTACGAGTTTCCATGCGCTTCAGCCAGAAGATTTATTTCCAATTTGTTATTCATAAGGGAAGAGTGAGAGATTGGGATGGGGTCCTTTGAAGTGGAAAACAAAGTCTTCTATTCAGCCTTCAGCTTAATAGAATACACATGACACAGGCTTGGCATGGCGGCCTGCTTTCATGTAATGTGCTCCTTGTCATTTTGCTTTCCTAGGCTGTGAATACTAGTGGGAATGGGTATTGCCCTGGAAAAGTCTCATTATCTCCTGCTGCCTTCTGCAGGAGGAGCACAGTGTAAGCAGGTAGGAGCCATTTGGTGGCAGTAGTGGGGAAACCAGGTTCATCCAATTGTTGCAGTTGTGTTGCTCGTAATTCCCAGTTTATGTTTTATATTGAAAGAGCATGTGTAGGAAAAGCAGCGTAACTGCAGGGCTTCTGCAGGCGTTATGCGGGCACTTCTGCCCTGTTTGGAGGCCCCAAGCAGCGAGCAGTGGCCCATGGGCTCTGAGCCTGCCTCTGACACCCGTCTTCTGCATGACCTGAGCTCTCGCCGTTATCCCCCTGACTGGAAGTGACTGAGGGAAGGCTCTTCTGAATTGGTGCAGCATCTAGGATGGTGGAGCATGATCTAGGCACTGTATCACTGCAAATAACCAGCGATTCTGTCCAAAGTTGATGTTTTGGGGGTATGTGTATAAACCCAGAATTTCAAGAATGCAGCCCCGGTTTTACAGTGATGTTGTTATTACCTATATCTACAAGCCTCTGAGAGCTTCTGTGCTTTGCCCTTTGTTAGTAGTATTAAAACCATGCTCAGTGCAGCACTAAGGCGAGTGTTTTTGAAGAACTTACAAGCCCAACGTACCACAAAGCCCTGTCAATTAGTGGGTCTGTGGGCTATGAGAAAAAACATGTGTGACCTTCAGCACATCAGCTTGGCCTGCAGCGTGAGTGTGGTTAGAAAGAATTTGGACCGGAGTCCTGCTGGTCCTCTTGGCCCTGTGACACTTGCTCCTCTCGGCTTCCTCTGGGATCACGTCCTCGCGCCCCTTCTGCATGTTCAGGTTTGGAGCTCTGGGTGAATCACCGAAATCAGAGATGGAAAGAAATGCATGAAGTCATCTCATCCTGCCCTTGCCAACGCAGGATTATTCCCCACAGTACAGTCTTGAGTGCCTTCTCTGGTCTATTTTTAAATGACTCAAAGGAGAGGGCTTTCCTCTCCTCCCTGGGGAGGCTGGCTCTGCTGTTCAGTAGACCTCACTGTTGGGGAATTTTCTTCCTGTTCTCCAGCCTCAATTCTCCTTTTCCCTAATTTAATTGAACTGTTCCTGGCTCCACCCTTCTAAACAATTTTCCGTATTGCATGACTGTTGCAAATACCTGTTGTCAATTTGCAGGCATAACGGATGGGAATTCATTACCGTTTGCCTTGCTTGGCAAAGGCTCTTTGTGCAGAACTGTACTGGGAAGCCAGGCTCCATCAGCAACTAGATTTCTGAGCTACATGCCAACAAATAAGAATGACCTTTTCCTACTTCTTTGGACAATGCCATTATCATAAAACCCCCAGCATGACTGAGAATTGGCTGGGCTTCTAGCAAAGCCATGAATGTCTGTATTAAAGTGTTGGTTTTCCTCATAGTCCTCCAGCAGATCTTCCATAGTGCTTTTTGCATGACAGAAATTACCGTTCTGAGTTCTCGGGTTTAGTTGTAGATGTATACACGTTTGGAGAACATTTAATTAAAAAATACAGTAATTCCTGTTTTATCAAGTGGCTCCAGCAGTTGAATTTCTAAACCCTGACTTTCAATTTGAGGTTTCTTAAGCACCTGAAGTGTTTTGAAAATGGCTATTGAAGGTGGGATTTATGCTTTGACAATACCTAGATGCTTTGGAGCGTAGCACCCTTTGTCTTAGGGGGTGTGTGTCCTTCATCCAGCAGGACCGACTCGCAAGAAAACTGTGTGTCCGAAGAGTGTAAGTTATTCAGGAAAAGCATCTTATGGGTTTGAAGAATTATGAATCCCTATTTATTTATTTAGAAGAAGAAAATCAGTTTCTGCTGTGGGTGACAGCAGAATAGAAGCCCATACTGAAAACACCAGGAAAAGAATGGCTAGCATTAAAGAGACTGAAATACCTTTAGTGCCTTCGTACAGCAGAGCTGCAGCTATTTAGCTATGGCAGGATACCAAACAACATTGTGGCTGGCCATTGTTGCTTGAACAGTTTGATTTTTAAAACATTCAGCTGAAATGTAACCGGCAGCCAAGTTGGAAGAAGTGAGTCACAAGGACAGTGTGTTAAATGAAGAGTCAGCAAATGAGGGAAACAAGTTCTTGTGCCCTGGTGGAAAGTGGCTGTACTGCAGGCTGGGAGCCCAAGAGCAGTATCTCGGCCTAGCACAGCTATTGGGTTACTTTTAAGAAAATTTTGTAGTCTAGAAGTAACATGGCTTTAAAAAGAATGAGATAGTGCCACAGCTATAAAATAAAATTACTGATTTCTCTGCGGTAGGCCTCAGAAGGGCCACGGATCCCATCCCTTTTTGCTCAGCACTGGCCCTTGCATCGTAAACCAGAAACTTCTCCTCCAGAGAACTTCCAGTGTTAAGCATTTCAGGAGATGGGAAAGGGGTGGTGGAGCAGGGTGGAGGAGGAGAGAACAAAGTGACTGTAGCTGGCATAATAAAAACCATCCCGGCACTCATTGGCCTTTGTTGCTGATACCGATCTGACTCATCAAACTGTTTGACGTGATTCTTGATAGTGTTTTTTAGAAGGCACCGTTCTTGTTGGTGTTTTTAAATGTGCATGTTTAAATGATGCTGTGAGTTAAATGGATTGGAGCATGGTGTGTGGGAGCACTGGAGAGGAGAAGGGTGTGTGGTCCCTAATGACGCCAAGTGAAAAACAGAGACACACCTGTTTTGGGATATAATGGGAGTGATAAGAGTAATTTCTTAATGATGGGGGTTTTTTGGGAGTGCAAGGGGAAGGGTGGGTTTAAGAAATGTAGGGGGGGCAAACAGGACTTCTATCTTGCTGTGCTGGGGACTGTTCATTTTAAATGGGAGTGTTTGGTACATCTGGGCTGAACTGATACTGGTTCTTGCATGCCGCCCCCCCGCTCAGTGTTTTGCTTTGCAATGTTTTATCTGCCAAAAAAAAAAAAAAATCACAAAATACTTGCAAAGTTGCATGGCCACAGGCTTAAATACATACATATGAAATCCCTGAAAGCAATTTGCTTCAAGCCCTCCTCAGTTCCAGACATCTTTCTCACTCCATCTGCTCGTTCAAGTACACAAGTTCCTTGGGAAAAATCACTTATTACATCACTGAAAAATGCCACAAAAATAGCTTTTCATTTAAGTTCCCATCCTCGGAGTTAAGTCACATGGGGATCAGATAGATTCAAACATTTAATAACTTTTTATTTTCCTTTCTCTTTAAACACAGGTTCTCTGGTCGTGGAAGCAGGGTCACGTGGTGGATTCTTGGCAGTCAGCAGTCTGTGGAGCTTTTGCAGGTGCAAAGGATTATATGTTATACTGGGAAAGACTAAAGAAGAAAGGGAAAAATGTGCAAATCTATTAAGTATAGCAGAACAACATTCCTTTGTAATTCAAGTTTGTTTAGAAGAAAATGGATCCAGTTGTTGTCTGGAAATAGGAAAGTCAGCAAAGGAAAGAGAAGGGAAAAAAAAGACTCAAACAGGGTGTCTGTTTGAAAGACAACCAATTTGTTTTTGACAAATTTCTGTTATTTAAAAACCAGGGGCCTGTCAGTCAGGCTTTGCGATTATTTCAAAGTTGATTTGTAAAATCCTCATCCAGGAGAAACTTTGCTTGGGTGGGGGTTTGTGCAGCTGTCTGCTCCGAGCACTTCCCCAGGGGTTGAAGTGATTGCAGCGAGAGGCCATGATTCACCATTCATGTGACAGCTCTGACAGCCATGTAGATTAACTAGAGTCAGGAGAGCAGAGGCTAGCACTGCACAGCCCGGAGGCAAAAGCCTTCCGCAGCAAAAAAAAAAAACGGAGGGCGAAACATCTGGGCAATCTCCAGACACTAGAACAAGAATAAAGAGTGGCAGAATACAATACTGCACTATTTATTACCAAACAAGCCAGAAGTTAATTGAATTCTTCAGTAGGCGTCTTGCTTGATTTTAGCCTACTGTAGTTGTTTCAAAGAAAAAAAAGAAAAAAAAGAAAAAAAAGAAAAAAAAGAAAAAAAAGAAAAAAAAGAAAAAAAAGAAAAAAAAGAAAAAAAAGAAAAAAAAGAAAAAAAAGAAAAAAATCAATTGATGACTCATCAGTATAGCTGACAAGTTTGAGGGAGGAGAGATGTTTTAATAGAAGAAACAGATTAGTAGTTAAGAGATGGATAGCCAGAGCTTTTCCCCAAGGAGCTAAAATACATTTTGGGATTCCAAACCAGTAACAGAATATGTGGAAAAAATAAATCCTGTTTAAAGAGAAATTATAGCATTTCTTGAAATAAAGCTTATCAAAAGCAAAGCTTGTTCTTTGATGACTTACAAAATCAGAGCCATTACATCGTATGTAATTTTTTAAAAATAAGCTCTGTTAGGGGAATTGTAGTATTAATAGCAGCAGAATTCCAGCAGAGACTGAGGCTTTGTTTTGATGGGCGCTGTAACTGCACGACCGAGAGAGGGTGCGTGGCTGTAACTGCACACAGTTTAGTAGATTGGGTATGTGAGCTGTGAGGGAATGGTTTAGGTAGAATTGATTCCATTTTGGGGCAGGGAGGATATTTTAGATGAGCTCTTGTGGTCTTGTCCAGTTGTTTTTTCTATGTTTATGTGACGGGAAGGGAGTTTTATTCTGCTTAAAATTCAGTCTACTGTTGGATTTTACACTGACTTCATCAAATCAGTGCAAACAAAATCAGAGCGATTGAAGCAGATCGTTCATTTCTGTTTTGAAACAAAACAAGCTATCAGACTAAAAATGCTTTAAAATGCAATCTGTACGGCTGCAGGTGTGATAAGGGATCATTAATTTAGCTCTGTTGATTTCTTTACAGTCAGATTGATACAAAAACTGTGTTCAGGCATGTTCAGAGAGCTGGAAAGGTTATCTGATTTACCCAAGGCCTTGTGGAGTAATTTCCTGAAGTCCAATTTGGTGCCTCAATTGGAAATTTAGCCCAGTGCCTTCATTTCCTTCTCTGTATGTCTTGATTCTGACCAGTTGTGCTTGGACTTGCTACTCATTGATGGATGTTCAGTAGTGTCTGCTCGCTTTCTAGCAGAAATGTTGCAGAAGGAGCTTCCAGAGGCACAGCTGAACGGTGGATGAACGATTCACTGCCCTTTGGCAGATGCTGGGGAGACCTAACACTTTGTGCTGAAAGAGACACCGGGTCCTCTGTGGAGCAGCACAGAGACTTCCAGGTTCACGATGGTAGTAGATGAGGCAGTTCAGCCTGGCTGTCTTCATAGGCTCTATTCCCCAAGCATAAATCTTTGCAGAGCTGGAGTGCTATTTTGTAATAGTGTTGTAATTGGTGATGATATATGTTCTCTGGGTTATCCTTCCATCTTCACTTCCTCCAGCCTGGTTTTCCTTCTTTGTTCTTTCTTATCCCAGTCTTTCCTTTTCACCAGCAGTATTTTAACCTTCCTCTTCCATGTCTCCTTTGAGGACCTGCTTGAAAATTCACAAGGTTCAACCTTTTTTGGATCAGAACCTTACCCTTTGGTCTTCATTGCCTCCCTCTGCAGACATGTAACAGGCAGGCCCTGTATTGATCTAATCCAGTACTGCATCCATTCTGTTTCAGTGCAAATATTTAGCCTTCTTGCTGAATGGAGGCAGTGGAAAAATAATTTCCTGCTTTCTGAAGAATGGATTCCACGGTTAAAAATTATTAACTACCTACATATAGCTTCAAACGAAGAAAGAAAAAACAGACCAAACTTTTTATCCCTTTCTTTCTACCCCAAAACAAAAAAATCAAAACCTCACCAGTACCCTGTGAATAAAATAAGATGGATGTGTGCATTTGAGTGATTTAAAATCATCACGTTATAAACCTTAAAAGGAAAAGATTATCCAAAACCCAACCTTTAAACACAGAGATGCTGTCAAATGCCACCATGGTAGTAGTGGGATGGCAAAATCACACAGACCTGCTTTTCTCCTGTGTTCTTTGCTTGAATTCAATACTTTCTAAAAATACGTTAGAGGTCCTGAGGGGCAGGGTAATAAGCTGAAACAAACTGAAAGAAAAGTCCTGTTTTGCTTCCCTTTATGGCACACAGACACATATATTTGTGTGTCTGTGTGCGTTGGTTAGTTCCTAGCTAAATCGTAACTGATTATTTGGCGAAGACAGAACAAAGAGCAACAATATATTGCATTCCATCCCCAGAGCCTGTGAAACGGCAGCGATTTCAGCCAAAGTGCTGTGAGAGGCCTGACTCTTCCTTGTTGAGCACACGTGTAAGATGTATGTATGCGATCCATGGGCTTTTTATAGAAACTTAATAGGCATGAGCATAAATATCAGAGATTTTGAATCCTCTCTGTGTCATCTGTTAATAATTTAATCCCTGGAGGCCTTGTCCAGCTTTATCATCATCTCTGGTGTCTTAACTAGAGGAGATGTTTGGAGCAGTCGGGGAGTGAGAGAAGGTGATATCTGAGCAGCTGGTGGGGAGGAACCCAAGGGTAGATCTACATGATATTTTAAGCCTGAGGTTGCATTTGAACCAAACCTTGCCTCATGCCTGAGCTGTTTGGACACCAGCCCAGATTTGGGCACAGGCTTTGGCAGGCTGGCGGCAGAGGAGGGAAGCGTGCGCCCATGCTGTGGGCAGGCCAGGCGTGATTGTGGTTGCACCCCATGCTCAAGTCTTCTCTGGGCTTAGGCTGCCTGGCTAGACCACTGCACCCCAGCCCTGCACCGTACCAGGGCAGGCTGTCCCAGAAGAGCCTCTGGGTGGTTTTCGTATGCCCTCCGTGGAACTGGGCCAGTGGCAAGGAAATCCTGCCATTGGGCGTTGGCTGTTGGGAAAGCAAAGTGCTGCCCTGGAGCAGGGAGGCAGCTCCAGCTTGTCAAAGAACCTGAGTGTCCGTTTAATGCAATTGAAAATTGCCTCTGTTAAAGATGCCTTCTTTCTCCCTACCGTAAAAAAAGTGTGGCTTAACATTAATAATTAATGCTTTGTGGTGACAAAGTCCCTGAGAATGGAGGTGCAAGCCTAGTGAATAATAAAGCACTAACGAGAGCTTTTTGCACATTGACAAGGAAGACTTCCCATCACTTTTGTTTTGATCTAATCGGCTCTGACAAGATTACACACTGTGTCTAAAAGCCTCTTTAACTCTATAGCTCTGAATAAATTTTTGAGTAGTTCTCAAGATTTCCCTGCAGTGTCTGCTTGGACCATGCTTCTAACCCTGAATTGGTTAAATCGCCGGAGGAGCAGTGCTTTGCCTCTTGGTATTTCTGCTGAAATCTGAAGAGGTTCTTGGGTCACTTTGCTCTACCAGTGGCAGGTCTTGTTCCCACAGTGATAAAGGACCAGAATAAACTTCCTCTTAAAAAAAAATAACAATATCAATAAAATAAAAGATCAATTAAGAAGTGATTGATTGAAGAGTTCTGAAAAAGAACGTTTGTGAATTTGGAAATCAGTCGGTGTAAGAGGATGCTGTGAGGTTTAGTGTTGGACCTATGCGACTCAGTTTTTCGACCCAGATTTGGGATTCAATCCTGAATCAGTCCTGGGTAACATTCAGATGTCAGTACAGAAAATAGTAAGAAGACGACAGGTAATAATACAGCTCAATCTGGATTTTTTTTCTTTCCCTAAGGTGTGCCAATTCATGTAAGGACATTAGTCAGCACACGTTCCTATCTCTTGAAACAAGCTTGACCTACCGAACTGGGCTGGTGTTGCAGAAGAGAGTGCCCAGGCGTCTGGCCAGATGGCAGAAACACAGAATCATCCCTAAGGTGTGCCAATTCATGTAAGGACATTAGTCAGCACACGTTCCTATCTCTTGAAACAAGCTTGACCTACCGAACTGGGCTGGTGTTGCAGAAGAGAGTGCCAGGCGTCTGGCCAGATGGCAGAAACAGAATCAGGAGGAGCCCCTGTGATGGCCAGAAGGGTTCCCTGGACCCTTTAGAAAGGGTGAGGAGAAGTTAAAATGGTACAGAAAAAAAAAGATACGGAGTCTGAAGAAGAATTTGTCTTCCTCCTTTCATAGGATCTTATTTGAGGAGTGTGTCAAAGAACCTGTGAAACATTTTGCTATAGCAGCAGCAGCAAATTCTGCAGGCAGCCACCTTACTGCGAGGACCTAGGGTTATGTATTGTTCTCAGGTGAAGTATTTCACTCTGTTTTGATGCTTCTCAATTTTTATTTGCATATGACAGCTAAAAAGGGTAGGAAATGCCAGCAGGAACCTAGGGGAATATTTTAAGTCTTCAGGACTTTTTATTCTAATTGCCAAATAAAGGTAAAGCATTCTCTGCAGATGTCTGTCACTAGCGCTTCCATCAAGAACTGGTCACTGGGAGGGTGTGAGTGGCAGAGGGATTTTCTGTTTAACACCCTAAGCTTGGTAAAGTTTAGCTGCTCCACTGACGTGTGAATATACAGTGTCCATTGTAACTTCTTGGGAGACAGGTTATGAATTTTCCACTACTGCGTGAAGTTTTATTTTCCCAATAGAGGAGTTTGTCACTCTGCTAGAAGTATTAACAAGCCAAGAGCCTTCTCCCATGTGAAAATCCATCTTTATGCCTACTTGCTTAGCCCAAGTCATCACCAGATCCTTCTAGGGCAAGGGAGAAAGGAGCCTTCTCCAGGAGTCAGTTGGTGAGGCTGTCTGTCCAGGTGCAGACTGCCTGCAAAGGTGCCTTTTTCTCTGTCAGTTCTGCGGAGAAGCTGGAATGATTAGGAGTGTAAGGCTGGATGTGTCTGGGCCTTTCTTGCCCACTCGATACTTTCATACCCGCTTTTCCTGGTCACTGACTAGTTGAGCAGATTCCAGCTTTATGTGACAGCTCTTGGAGAATTCTGTGACAGCAGGAATAGACTAAAGGAGTGATTTAAAGATCTGTTGGGCCTTACTGTGTATTAAGACAGCCCTCCTATTTTGAATGAGTAGACTCTGGCTGTACTAGTTTGTATCTGTTGTATTAATCTGATGATTGGAAACAGTCATGTTTTAAGTTCCTTTACCCAGCTAGAGTAGGTGGGACTGAGCAGTCCCTCGCTAGCACTGTAGCCTGTTCTTGGATACCTATGTAGTAACGTTGAAGAGGTCACTCTAAAATTACCTTGGACATTTAGCGTTAAGGCTGGAGCAAATCCATTTTGTCAGACTCACTGCCTTCAATAAAATGCAGTTCCCAACAAATGCTAGCTTTAATCTTGTGTTTTTGTCAAGCATATACAAACTTGCATTTAATTTAGCTGCTATCCTGCTGCTTGTGCTTATGAAGCATTTTATTGTTGCTGTTGTCATTCTAAATTGATTGGTAAATCTGCACCAAATACTTCCCAGTGATGGGAAAAGAAACATTGAAATGTTAATAACAAAAGAGTCTGAAAGATCCAGATGTTAGCTGGGGAAAAAATGAAAACCAATCGGCCTTGATTAAACCTTTCAGATAAGAATTTGGGAACATTGTATCAGGATAAATTGTGTTTGTTCTAATCGCTATATCAGCCAAGATTGAAGCTTCTGCCAATAAGAAACTGTTAGGAACAAATGCATAAAAAAATTACCAGGATCTGATAAGGGAATTAAGTTAGTCTGACTAAAGTGTTACCGTCAACTCTATAGCCGAGTGATGCATTGAGATTTTTTGCTTGATACAGGCCTGACAGCCGTGTGGTTCACTGTTTAATTTTATCTTGGTCTGTGGGCAAAGGAAGGGCTTCTGCATCCAGACTTGTAAAGCCACTATTTTCCATGGAGATTATTTTTACTGTTCTAAAAATACATCGCTGACATGAGTACCAAAGTGTCATCCAGACCATTCTCTCAAAGCCTTTGGGTCACTTACTGAAAAACTGGCTCACAATAAAAAGATTTTTGACCTTAAAGAAGGTCCAAGAATGAGCTGGAATTTAGTTTAACTTGCTCATATTTTCTGCTTTGGCTTCTTGAATACAACCCATTTTTCTGCTTTTTAGTGAGGTATCACTGCTAGAAAGCTTCCGGCAGAGGGAACCGGATGGGCCGACCTTACGTGAGCAGAAGCTGCTCCTAAACCAGGCATTTTGGGCTGTTTGCTAACTCAGCTTGCCTGCTATTCTTGTTTGAGATCCAGGGGACTGCACATGTGCCTTACTGCATCTCCTGAACTGTCATGGGACATTCCTTAATTAACTGGAAGAAGTCAGTGTAGGGTGCCAGCTGGCCCAACCTCCTTTCTGACATAAAGCAGGGGTTTAATATGTTAAAGCTAAGGTGCTTGAGAGAGAGAGATGCAGGTAAAAACACAAGCCAGTGAGGAAGATGGATTTTTTCATTACTTTACAGATTTTAGAAGACATGTTTTTCCCCTCTCCCATCCCAAGAAAAGAGAGATCAATTTTTTTACATTCCATAAAACTTGGAACAGAAAATAGATTATTTTTAGCTTATTCCCTGGGTACTGTGTAGGCTTCAGTCTCTGGAGTCACTTTGTTCCCTTCTGTAGCAGATACGGGATTTATACAAGCTCCAGAGAAAAAAACAGGAGGAAGAAGGAGGAGAGATTTCAGAACAAGCCTCTCTCTCTTTTCTTCCCCCCTTTCTTTCTTCACTTACTGCTGGACTGCTCCTGCATTTTAAAAGTTTCCTTCGCTTTGGCTTTTCCTCAGCACGAATTACTTGCTTGAAATATTGTGAACCGAGGAGGGAGAGAGAGATTAGAGTTAATTTTAGGATGGGGAAATAAGGCAAAGGGAATAAGATCCTGGGAGAAAAAGCAGCAAAACTGGTCCCTAGATAGCACAAGAGGCCAGGCTGTAGCCACAGGGTTAAAATATGGAGACAGACACACGCACATTTGTGGGTGAGACATGCAGATGGATAAGCTGAAGATTTCTGGCTTTCAGGAGGAAAGCCACAGCTGAGCTGGCTGCTCCAAGTGAAAGTAATGAGCTCCAAGGGTGAAGTTTGGGCATGATTAGAGAGAACAAAAATGCCTGCGAGGGGAAGATGGCACTTGTGGCAGCAGACTTCTGACAATTTCCAAAGACCCTTGGGCAGTTTCACATTGTTGTTTTCCAAAATGGAGCTGATTTCATTCAGTGGAGATGAGCTCCATCCCAAAAACTGGCTTGTCTTTTTTCCCTGAAACAGAGTCCCAGGTCTAACAGTTGCAGTCCATATCCAGTCTGTCTGTATCTTGTAGATAGCTTTGCCCCTGAAGCATGTGTGTTTCAGATGCGGAGCATCTTTCCTCTCTATCTTTCTAGCATTTGAATAGTCAGACTTTAATTCTCAAGGCAGAGCACAGTGTGACGAGCTTGTTTTCTGATCTCTGCAAATGAATAAGCAGGTTCTTCCTTTCAAACTTGTCCATAGGTGTTGGAAGTGGAATCCGTTATCCTTATGACCTTCATATGTTCATATAAGTACAGAGTCCAAAACAAAAGGACAGTAATCTCAATGGGGATGTTTGGATTTACAGTTAACTTCTATAGAGCTGTTTTCCTTAAGTCAACACACAGGAATAAAACACTCTGTGTACAGACCTTCAACAAAGTACTTGGACTCTGACGTGAGGAAACATGCTGTAGGCATTAATAATGGAGCAGTGTTGACCACAGCCATGGGAATTATAGGCAGTGTGGCATTCATATTCAACCAACAATGTCTCACTTGTGTTTGGTATTTTAATTTGCTCAGGTGGATTTGCAGCTGCAGTCACCACACCTCTCGATGTAGCGAAGACGAGAATTATGTTGGCAAAGGTAAGAGCAAAGGAGGCCAGCAGACACGCAGGTGAATGGCTTGGGTAGTTCCAGAGTTTCTGTATGGTCATTACAGAATGAAATCCAGCACTTATTAATAATGGTTTCTGCTTTTGTCCTCAAAGGCAGGATTAGACGTGAACAGGTACTGCATGCAGAACTAATGAAATTGTCATGTTCCTTTCCTTGTGTTGCTCTTCTGGTCCTTTCCCAAAGGAGCTGAGAAGGGCCTGTGTTTGTGCTAGACTTCCAGAGTCTCATGCAGTGTCTTTAGGAGAAAATCCTTGCAGAGTCAGATGCCCAAAGTTAAACTTCCCATCATGGATTTATTCCTCTGGGTTTTTTGATAATGTTTGGGCTGGAGTGTGTGTGTGTGTCTTTTCTGAGGAGGGCTTGGCACTGGATTTTCTGACCTAAAATTTTAAGGCACAAAGATCATGATGGCTGATATCTGCCAACTAGGGCAGAAGGAAGGTTGCTTATAAGATCAGTAAGTTTAGTAAGTAGTTAAATTGCTAGTAAGTCTAGTGTTCCCGTCATCATCTTGCTGACCCCAGAGCAGAGCTAAGCTGTGTGTCTTTTCTGAGGAGGGCTTGGCACTGGATTTTCTGACCTAAAATTTTAAGGCACAAAGATCATGATGGCTGATATCTGCCAACTAGGGCAGAAGGAAGGTTGCTTATAAGATCAGTAAGTTTAGTAAGTAGTTAAATTGCTAGTAAGTCTAGTGTTCCCGTCATCATCTTGCTGACCCCAGAGCAGAGCTAAGCAGCCACATAGCTAAAAGCCCTCGACCTTTGCCCTGGAAAGAGCTGTTGTGTTGGCAAAGGTCAGGCATCCTGGAGTTTCTGTGGATTTTTTTTTTACCCTATTGCTCATGTCCCTTGGTACGCTTGTCTTTTTTCCCTGAAACAGAGTCCCAGGTCTAACAGTTGCAGTCCATATCCAGTCTGTCTGTATCTTGTAGATAGCTTTGCCCCTGAAGCATGTGTGTTTCAGATGCGGAGCATCTTTCCTCTCTATCTTTCTAGCATTTGAATAGTCAGACTTTAATTCTCAAGGCAGAGCACAGTGTGACGAGCTTGTTTTCTGATCTCTGCAAATGAATAAGCAGGTTCTTCCTTTCAAACTTGTCCATAGGTGTTGGAAGTGGAATCCGTTATCCTTATGACCTTCATATGTTCATATAAGTACAGAGTCCAAAACAAAAGGACAGTAATCTCAATGGGGATGTTTGGATTTACAGTTAACTTCTATAGAGCTGTTTTCCTTAAGTCAACACACAGGAATAAAACACTCTGTGTACAGACCTTCAACAAAGTACTTGGACTCTGACGTGAGGAAACATGCTGTAGGCATTAATAATGGAGCAGTGTTGACCACAGCCATGGGAATTATAGGCAGTGTGGCATTCATATTCAACCAACAATGTCTCACTTGTGTTTGGTATTTTAATTTGCTCAGGTGGATTTGCAGCTGCAGTCACCACACCTCTCGATGTAGCGAAGACGAGAATTATGTTGGCAAAGGTAAGAGCAAAGGAGGCCAGCAGACACGCAGGTGAATGGCTTGGGTAGTTCCAGAGTTTCTGTATGGTCATTACAGAATGAAATCCAGCACTTATTAATAATGGTTTCTGCTTTTGTCCTCAAAGGCAGGATTAGACGTGAACAGGTACTGCATGCAGAACTAATGAAATTGTCATGTTCCTTTCCTTGTGTTGCTCTTCTGGTCCTTTCCCAAAGGAGCTGAGAAGGGCCTGTGTTTGTGCTAGACTTCCAGAGTCTCATGCAGTGTCTTTAGGAGAAAATCCTTGCAGAGTCAGATGCCCAAAGTTAAACTTCCCATCATGGATTTATTCCTCTGGGTTTTTTGATAATGTTTGGGCTGGAGTGTGTGTGTGTGTCTTTTCTGAGGAGGGCTTGGCACTGGATTTTCTGACCTAAAATTTTAAGGCACAAAGATCATGATGGCTGATATCTGCCAACTAGGGCAGAAGGAAGGTTGCTTATAAGATCAGTAAGTTTAGTAAGTAGTTAAATTGCTAGTAAGTCTAGTGTTCCCGTCATCATCTTGCTGACCCCAGAGCAGAGCTAAGCAGCCACATAGCTAAAAGCCCTCGACCTTTCCCTGCCCTGGAAAGAGCTGTTGTGTTGGCAAAGGTCAGGCATCCTGGAGTTTCTGTGGATTTTTTTTTTACCCTATTGCTCATGTCCCTTGGTACGGAGATGTTTCTTGATGACATGCACTGCCCCAGCCGAGTCAGGCACATCTGCACTCACCCTGTTGCTGTGTTGTGTATTTCTCATTGCGGGGTGTTGTACCTGCTGCAGCTTCTTTGCCTTTGGATAGTGGGGGTGATAAAACTGTAAGAACTGGGTTTTGTTTCTGTCTGCCACTGTGCTGAGCAACCAGGTCAGCATTGGTAAGGGAATGACGGTGCTTTGGGATGTTCTGAGACCATCCAGACAGCATCTTTATATTAGTCATCTCTCACTAACTAGATCACACATGCAATTTAATTGTCTGTAGTCATGCTGTTTGTCCTCTGTTTTGCTCTCAAGGCAATTTTCACATGCAATACACGACTCACCTTTTTTTAAGTACATCTCAAGTAAATCCTCTTGCAGTGAGCAGCAAAGTTTCTTGTTGGTGCTTTGAGAGTGTGTTTTTATTAAATTCTTACTCCAGTGTCAGCTGCTGGACTGAGTGTAGTGCAGAAAGGACTGGATACCCAGTTCTGAACTAACCAGCTCTGTGACCTTGGAGTGATCGTTTTGTTCTTCTGTGCCTTGGTTTCCCTTTCTGCCCTTTGCATTATTCCTGGAGATACAAGGAGCTTTTGCCTGTGCCTGGGGTAAGAGGTCGTTAGGATGTCTGTAATTGCTGTAAAGTAGCACTAACCAGGGACAGGGAGCTCAGTAAATAACTAAACCTCTCTGCCAACAGTTTCCAATCTCTCTCTTTCTGTGGTGCAGGCTGGATCCAGCAATGCTAGCGGGAACGTTCTGGCCGCCCTCGGTGGCATCTGGAGGACACAAGGCCTGTCGGGGTAAGGACATGCTGCAGAAGCACATTTCATGTGTTGTTTCTCTGTGTTTGGGGGGTGGGAGAGGACAGGATGGTCTGCTTATATTTAAATCCTGTCAGACAGAAAAGACTTTTAATTGCTGTACACATGGCCAGAGAGCAGCTCTAAGGTAGCTGGGAACAAGAAGGTCCATCCAGGGAGGTCTAGTGTCCTCGCTTAAGCACTGGCTGTGAGCAATGTCTAGGGAAGAGCACAGAAACAGGGTATTATTGGGGACTTATCCATGGTACAATCTCTAAGCTTAGCTCCAGGCTTCAGAGTGGAGGGTGGCTTTATGTTTAATGGACTCTTCTCCATGAATATGTGCATTTGTGTTTTGTATCCATTTAAACTTTGGGCATGCACATCCTCTTGTGGAAGTGAGTGCCACAGATTGATCTTGAGGTGTGTGAATCACCTCTCCCGAGACGTCAGGGAAGGCCAGCATAGGAGCCACGTGTCCCTTATGGACAGTCTTTCCCTCCTCCTGGCAATTTCCTACTGATGTGAAACACCAGCAAGGTCTCCTCTGTTCCTTTATATTAGCTGTTCTTACTGTGAAGTGTGATGGGAGCACGCGATGCCAGTGTGGTGCTGGCAGTAGGGACAAGCTGAAGCAGAAGGAAGGGAGCCATGTGCTCCCTGACTGGTCCTTTGAGCCTCCTGTCAGGTCTGGGCTTGAGCGCATGCCCGCTTGGATTTCTCCAGTGAGGCACTTGTTGCAAAAATGTTAAGTTTTCTGAGACACGCTTCAGTGCAAAGAGTAAGTCTGAGCAGCCGCAGAGCAGCTCTCTGGCTGCTTTCCTCCTGTGACCAGGGTGTAGACATGTTCTGGGCTTTCTGCTGACTGGTCAGGGAAGTCTGGGGTGATGTCGATCCAGCCTCTTGCCTGCCTCGCTTTACCCAGTCCTGAGATGGAGAATTGCTCTTCTGACGCTGGAGCAGTGTTGTGAACAAAAAGTCCTCTGCTAGCATTTGTAGAACATTTTGAGGTGTTACGGGCTTATAAATTATTATTGATTTTTACAGACACCTGCTTCATTTACGCCACCTTGCCCTCTTTGAGTGCATGACTCATACCAGTTACTGGCCACGTAGTGAATATAAGTCTTAAACAACAACTCCTGTGCTTCCTTCGGTAGGGTTTGTGTTCCACCTGCCCTTGGCCTGGAAGAGAAACGGAGGTTCTTTTGAAGCTTTACTTGGGGCTTTTCACTGTAATTTCTCATAGGTTTTTAATCTGCTTGATGTGGCCAGTACTTTCAGGGTGATGTTTTAACATTTGTAAACTGTTGCTCGAAGCAGCATGCACATCACAGCTTTGCGGGAGATAGTTTTCTCTTAACATCTGATCTCTGCTCGCACAACTAATAAAAGTTCAATCCTCTTTCTACACATGTGGGAAGTAATTCAAAACAAATTGCAGGAAGTTCCTGAACACCGATTCCAGGAAGACGTCCAGCTGTGCCCCCCGGCAGAGCTCAGAGGGGTTGTCTCAGGTTTGCTCTTTGAGGTGATGAGGTGATGTGGCAGTGGATGAGTTTTGGGTCCTACATGGCTTGGTGGACTCTAGGGCATATTTTGAAAGGGACTGGGAGAAGTGAGGCCATGTCTGCTGCTGATGGCAGTTGAACTCTGAAGGGTGTGAAGAGGCATGGATTTGGCTGGGGAAAAGGGGAGGTTTCCCCAGCCAACAGCAGAAAATAAAAATGTATGTTTGTGTTCTTTTCAGGGTGTTTCAGCAGTGCCCTTTTCTAAACAACCCAAAATTAAACTCTGCCTAAAGATAGTATCCATGGACTAGGACCAAAGGGAACACAATTCAATTGAAATCAAAACAATAAGCGATCTGGAGAAAAAGTAACATGTAAAGGAGGCCAAGCTGCGTCAGCTGCAAGGAAAAGGAAGAAAGTCTTGGGAAAAATAAACGCAGAGGCTGCCATGCCTGCTGCCAATTATAAATCTATTAATCAAAAACAATAAAAATGTCGGGCTTTTTTGGCCAGTTGCAACATGAAATGATTTATGGCTCCTCTAATAAATCTCATAGTTGAAGAGGAGGAATTCTGAGGGCAGAAAGACGCATTGCTTATTGCCACCTTATTAAAACCAGAGCACAGGGCTCAGCTTCCTGGTCTGCACCTAGTAAATCCCTCTGCTTCACGCCAAGAAATTTCACATCCCTTTCTGTCCGGGGAGAGCCAGGCCTGCAGTGGGAGGTAGGATAGGGAAGGGGTGAGCGGATCTGTGTGCCTCTTCGCTCTTGCAAGCAGGGTAGACGAGCCATTCACATGAAAGCGGGTTTACATCTTGTCCGACTGCTTTTCATGCAAGGAGGTGGTGGCGTTTGAAAGCCGTGGATGAAATGTCACAACTTGCTGGTGAGAAAGACGAGGGTTATTTGGCTGATAAATCTGGTGAGATGGTTTGTCCCAGCTTGTGTGTAGATGGGGACAGAGCTGGCAGTTTGCACCAGGTGTCCCGTTCCTCAGCCGAGCTTCCTGGTTGGAATGGACGTGGCGCGGCAGGCATGAACCACACCGCTCTCCGGAGCCAGATCTCGCCAACGCGAGTGGTGAAAGCAGCCCCAATGCCCAGGGCTTGCTGCCTTGTGAAACACAAGCTGCCCACAGGAGTGAGCTCAGTGCAAAGCTGTAGTCAGGTAAAAGCGGTGTTTTTTCTCAGCATGGCCACCTCTTTGGTCCGGAGCGTAATACGGCAGTTTTGTGGCCGAGCACGCAGTGCTTTTTTCAGCGCTGGCCCCTCTATGCCGTGTCCAGGCCCTGCAGTGCCTTTTCCGAAGGGTAACTTCAGGGGTCCTGTTTAGTCTCTCAGCCCCAATGCCCAGGGCTTGCTGCCTTGTGAAACACAAGCTGCCCACAGGAGTGAGCTCAGTGCAAAGCTGTAGTCAGGTAAAAGCGGTGTTTTTTCTCAGCATGGCCACCTCTTTGGTCCGGAGCGTAATACGGAGGTTTTGTGGCCAAGCACACAGTGCTTTTTTCAGCGCTGGCCCCTCTACGCTGAGGGGCCCCTCTATGTCCAGGCCCTGCAGTGCCTTTTCCAAAGGGTAACTTCAGGGGTCCTGCTTAGTCTCTATTGAGAAAGAATTTGCTTTGGGTTGCTGAGTTGTGGCCCAAAAATGTCAGCTTTTCTGCTGGAACCGTGGGACTAGGTGTATTGCTGGGCTGGGAACCCTGAAACGAAGAGCTGCACCCCGGAGGGCATGCACACGGTTGGGGGAGCACACGGTGTGAGTCTAACACCCTCAGCCAGGCCTCGCCCTGGGATATAAATGTGGTTCCCGGATTTGTGTCTCCTGCTGAGCCGTTCCTTGCACGGCTGGGGAGAGCGATGTGTCTGTACCTGAAAGCCTGCGTTTGGTCTTTGCCAGTCACTGACATGCTGCGCGTTTCTTGCAGCTGTCGGTGATGAGAAGGTGGGGGTGAAGCCCTCCAGCCTTGGTGCTGGATCTGACCAGTAACTGGGAGAGTTGCTTAAGCAAAAGGGAAAACCCAGGCAGGGAGAGAGGAGTGACAGGGTGCCAGGTGAAATCTGTACAAACAGATAGCAAATACAAATGGACGGCAGACCTGTGCCCACCAGAGGGGTTTCTAATGGGGCCAGCAGAAAAAAACCCAGCAATTTATCTAATCTGCTGCTGAGGGCAGGTGTGGCCCAGCGGGGACCAGTTTGGATCAGGCCTGCAGCAGAGCTCAGCTCTCCGGATTCGGAGAGCCCCAGAGCCGTTTAGTTCTCCCTTCCTGCAGAAGTGAGCGTTGGAGAGACCATGGGTGGCCGGTGGGAAAGGGAAGCTGGAGGGAGCAGGGCCAGGATTCTTGGAAGTGATGGTTAGTAATAGAGGTTGCCAGGGATGCAGCTTCTGGGTAACTCAGTTATCTGCCCTTGTTTGTATAATAGCTGTGTCTCGAGTGGGCTGTTCTGTAAATGAATGTCTGCCACTGCTCCTGTAATGAGGGCTGCCTAATTCGGCAGGAGAAGGATGGTGCGCGTTTCGAGAGCGATGCTGCACCGTAGCATTTACCCTATCAGCACTCTGTCCGTACATGCCTTGTACAAATTACTCTGTTTTAAAGCTGTCATTATGGTAATAGACCCAATTGCTGTCTAGTAAAGCCATAAAATGTTTCCATCTGCCTGTGTGCTCCAGGCTCCTTAGCAAAGCTCATTACAACGAAAACCAGAGTTACTGCAGCCAGAGGTTTCCCCAGTGCAGCGTGAGTAGCCGGGCGTGGGCAGGGAGCAGAGAGCTCCTGAGCAGCCCTGGGGGTGCGTGCATTTTCCGCGCAGCCCGGTCTCACCGGGAATTACACCTTGTCCCACTGTGGACACGCTCCTAGCAGGGACCATGCAGTGTTTGGAAAAAGTGAAGGACAGCGTCCCCACGGAGCTCAGCCAGAGCGTGCTGCGAAGGGCTCCCGCCGTGCGGGCGATAGATCAGCGGGAGGATGCCAGACAGATTCAAGCCTAATGTTTAATCCTTGCTTGCAACGAAGGAAGCCTGTAATCCTCTGGGAGGATACACTGGCCTATCCTGATGTTGTTAAACCAGCTATGAGCTTAGATGTGTCGAGCAATTGGCTTTGCATGAGTTTCCTGTTAACTTCCTAGAACTATTAAGATCAGGCACCTAAAAATCGTGGCGGCTGAACGCGCAGCCATTCCTGCTCCCTCCCTGCTGGCCCCCGTTGGATGTTATTGGGGATGAGCCGCTGCGGTGAGCAGGGCTGTCTCTGCAGTGGGGGAACTCCTGTCAGAGAGAGGGGGTCCCTCTGCCGAGGCTGGATGGGGGTAGTGGAGGATGGGACACTTCCCGTCTGTCTGCAGCCCTTCGTGGGGATGTGTCTGAGCTCCTCTTTCTGCAACGTGGCCTGTGTGCTCCTGCACCTTTGCTTCTGCGCTTTAGGAGTGCGGAGAGGGGTTAAAAATCACAAGGCTTGGGAGTACTCTGTTAGGGAAGCCCAGACAGGTTCCTTCAGTGAGCAGCGGGGTGGGATTTAAGAAACCAGCAAGAGAGAATTTTTCTTGGCTTTGTTTTCCAAAGCCCCTGCAGCCAGCCGTGCAGCATCCGCTCTCCACTCATCCTCTGAAATCCCCTTTTCTTCGCCTTCAGCTTGTTCGCAGGTGTTGTCCCACGGATGGCAGCCATCAGCCTGGGAGGCTTCATCTTCCTGGGGACATACGAGAAGACTCGCCAGCTGCTGCTCTGACCCAGCCCGGCCGGTCCTGCCGGTGGCCGCCGAAGAGCTGGAGAAGCCGCTGAGCTGGAGGAGGAGTCCGCCTGCGAACGCAGCCTTCCTCCTGCCACCCCTTCGCCGTGCCACAGCAGCTGTTCAGCAGGCTGAGCGCCGCTTTCACTGTTAAAGAAAAGTAAATCCTCCAATAATTCAATTTCCCAAAGACGAAATTTTCCTGCATGGAAAGTGAGTGAGGTCATTGTGAGAGTCGTGCCAAAAAAGTAATATTTGGGGGGTAAACAGCTAATTACGGTGGCTGAGAAAGGCATTATTAGAACTCCTGCAGGGGAAATGTTTCGCAAACCTCCAGATCGTGGGCTGAGCAGGGAGGCTGAAATAAAGTGAGTTTTCATAATTCAGTGGCACCTGCCTCATAACATGGGGAGGGTTTTTCTGGTTGAGGAAGGGGCCGATAGAGTTACAGCCTGCTGCCCTCCAACAGCACTGAAAGTATTCCAGGTTGGGAGAGCTCTTTGTAAAAGACAATAATCCATTTGTTTCTGTGTATTTGTGAAAGTTTATATTCCTGTTTATACCTACAGGTGCTCAGCAAGCATTCCTGTGTGGTAGCCAGTGCAGCTTTATTAATTAGACTCATATTTCTCCAGTAAAAGCACGGGCTTGTATTATTTTACAGCTGTGCCTTGTGCAAAGACATGCAGCTCTGCCTTCTTTTCGTCTTCCTCCCTCAGCAGCTGAAGGAGCGGGAGGTTGGAAATGCTGAAGCCCAGGAGGGAGGCTGGGAAGGCAAGGCAGGGGGAGCGCACAAGTTCTCCTGCCGATGTACGGATGGATCCTGAGGGTTCTCAGGGGACTGCTGGCAGGCAGAGCAAACCTCTGCCCTTGCTCTCATGTTAGGTAAGAGAAGTTGTAGTGGCCAAAGTGGTGCAGGGACGAGCTCGGTGAAAAGGCCTTATTGAAATTACTCAATTAAAATTATCACCAGAGTCCAGAAGGGGGAAATTGGCCAAGTTTACACCAGCAACTTGGCTAGGCGGTGTAACTTGGAACTGTTTAGATGTGGAAGGTGTTTGCATGGGGATGCCTGGGCAGGCAAAGCTGAGCTGCTGCAGTGAACGCCTTCAGTACGCACCGAAGACGCTCCTCGGGCTGCACCAGCGTGGTGGGATAAGAGGGGCCGGGTCAGGCGGTGGCAGTTCCCAGGTTTGCCCTGGGCTCAGCTGTGATGCTCGGAGGCTGAGGGGCCCCTCACTGGTGGGCTCGTGCGTGGGGGTGAGGAGGTGGGTGCTGGCTGCTGTAGGGGCTGCGTGGGGTGAGCTGCCCCGGGGTGAGCAGGGCGGCTGTTGGGCCGGGTGCTGGGACTCGATGCACCGTGGGCGCCCGCCGTCAGGCTTGAGAGGGGTGGCAGAGCCCGGCTTGTGCAGCCATAGCGGCGCCAAGGCCGTCGGCTTCAACCTGGTGGCACTGCACGCGTCCACCTGAGTTAACTGAAGTCGTACCTGTGATGACGTGCTCCCCTGGGGTGCCACGATTTAACACCGAGGTTGTTCTCCTCGTTAGGAAGGCGTACAGGCATAGGGAGTCTGGGGTGAGGGAGAACAAATGCCAAACCAGGTTAGTGCACAAACGAACGGGGGGGGCAGGTGCAAAGCCTGAGCCCCTGCCCAGAGAACAGGCTGCTGCTCAGGCGCAAACATGGGCCAGGCTTACTAAGGCTGGATGTTTTATTACACCGTCATCCCGTGACATAGTAATAAGACTTTTTTGAGGCCAAAACTTAGAAAATAATTGGCAAACAAGTAAAACATACAGAACAAAGGACATAATTCTTAAAAATAATGTTCAATTAAAATGGGGAATTTCAGCCAAGTCCTGCAGTGGCTGGTTAATTTTACCAGTTGCCATGGCACGGTGTAGCAGTGCTTCCTGCCACTTTCAAGGTTCTCTCTTCTATGAAGTTTATGTGTGTATATATATATAGCAGAACTGATTTTTAGGGGCATTGGGGGGGGCGAGATTGATTACTCTGTCTTGAAAGCTAACTTGGATTTTTCTATTAAAGCGCTTTAAACGTGGTGAGAGGGTTAGCCCTGCAGTTGGTGCATTTAATTACCTGAGCTGAACGTAATCATGCCCCCTAAGTTGTTGGGTCCAAATGCTGGATTTTTGTTGTTTTTACTTAACATTTGCATAATCAGTTTTTGTCATCACTGCTTTTATTTAAAAATGAGGGCAGGGGAGAGCCAGACCCCGAGTGCTTCCTTCCCCTTCCCCTGTGCTGAGGGACTGGCTCCGCACCCCCGACTGCGGCGGGAAGGACAAGGTCACCCGGGAATGGCACCAGGCAAGCGAGAGCCCCGCCGCGCGGCCAGGGGCTGTTCTGCACACATCAATTTGTCTAATCCTGCTGAAAATGACACTTTTAATTATGGGACTACGGGGGGGGAAAGACCTAAAAATGTGTTTGTTTTTCCCCTACTACCTGTTTGCGTTGAGTTTTAGTGACATTTTATTTCAAGTTTACCAAAACTTGAAAAATTCATTTTATTCCATTACTGGGATAATGTGGAATAACAAAACTTGAATCTCAGACCAGGCACCAGCCTCTTAAAGGCTCTTTCTTCACTGTTTTAAAATACTTTTTAACTGCTACAGGTGTTAAGGGATTTATCAGAGTAGCTTATCTGCTTTATACCCAAATTGCGTGGGGAATTGGAGAAGGAAATACTTTTTTAAAATTTTTTTGAAGTATACAGAAACTGAATTGAGATTTTTAGTTAAAGCAAGAATTCAAGCTTATCTCCAAAGCTGCCTCTGGAATTTCCACACAGGGTGGGGTTCGGTTTGAGAAAGCCAGAGGTGTTCACAACTGCAGCTGAGTCTAGTGCTATCCTGGCCCCATTTTTCTTAAATACTTACACACGCATGCACCCCCCCCATCTGTTCGGTTTTCAGTGCCAAGATAAGGGCACTTGCCAGATACTTAAGCAAGTTGATATATTAGAAATGTCTTTCTTACGAGTTCTTTATTGTATCTTTCAATACAGCCCCCAAATTCCACCCCATCCGCAAGTCAGGCTGCCAGAGGCTCGTGCTGATCTACAGTATCTAACGTTAAAGCCACGGGTCTAATTTCAGGAGTGGGTATTTTGGCAGTTAGTCTGCGTTTTCGTCAGAGAAAGACAGAAAAGAGTATAGCAATGGATTAGAATTTTATTTAATTTTCAACTGAAACTCCCAAAAGTTCACTCTCAACAAAACAGCTGTAATATTATAAATGAACCTTTATTAAAGACACTTCAATGCCGTTTGTTAGACACTTCAATATCTTACATGTTTTTCAATGTACAACATTGTACCAAATTTTCTAATAAATAAATAACTTTGTACACAAAAGTAATACTTCCTCTTTCACATTGCCTCTTAGAAGCAGCAAATTCACATATTTAGTGGAAGTCATAACATTAGGCAGTTAACTTTATTCAGAAACATTATTTTCAATGTTAACGTGGCAAACATGCTTTGTATCTGCAACGGTGATGACATTTCTGCCAGCAAAATGAGTCAATTAAATCATTCCCATCTTCCCCGTGGCCCCAGTTCCACTGTTTTCACCTTGCGAGTCAGTTCTGAAGCATACTTTTCCCTTGAGTAAAGGGAAAATTACGCTCGGTTTATAATTTTCTAACATCCATTTCCTTTGTTTTGAATAAACTTGGCACTCAACATAATTCACCACCTGTCTCAAAGTGCAAACATGTCAATAGTCAGGAACTGATACAGACAGGTACCTGGCTGAATTATGCCTTGCTTCACCAAGGTCAGGTGCAGCTGGCTCGTCTACAGTGAAACCGGCCATCAGCTACTGGGCCACAGACAGCGGTCCTTCCCTTAGAGGAGGTGGTGGCTCCTCAGGGCGAGGCTGGACAGGACGCGGTAGCACTCGGGCAGATCCCCTAAGGGATGGATCTGAACAGAAAACGAAACGTTTCCGCCCGTACCTCTGATGCTTGCTTTGAGCCACAGCACTAGCAAAGGTGGGTTTCCACCAGACTCGGCTTCAGGGGAACTGGCACTTGAGTTGCTCCTAAGGAAAAAAGTAACAGAACCCCCTACTAAACCTTCCCCCTAAAGTAGTCATCACCAGAGTTAGCAACCTTATGTTAGCAGAACTCAAATTACAAGTAACTGGAAGGGAGTCCTCCATCCACAGGTACCAACACCAACAGAAAGCAGCCTTTCTATAAATAAAAAGCATCATAGTGAAGTTAGAAGTGACAAAGACCTGTTTGACCAACGTGGGTATTCCTTTTTCCCCCTGTTCATGGATGAACTTAAAAGACCACATGAAAAGGGACTACGCATTTCCACGTAACAGCATACTTTCAACCATAGATACCCAGTTTCCCCTTCTAAATGAGCGTATTTCTGAATAGCCCAGAATTGCTACACAAAGCAGCTTAATTCATCTGAAGCAGATATTTTCATATAAAGACTCTGGCTGCAGATGGGGGTAACGGTGTTCAACAAGAAAGCGTAATACTGTGCTGCAGGGGAAAAAAAGCATCAGCTGAATTAACGGCACAGCTGTCGGCTTCGGAGTGTGATTCTAGTTCTGTTGTCAAAACAGCTCTATGGTTTCAAACCCCCGCCAGAACAGATGCATTTTTTTGGGGTGTGAAAATGCATTATACTGGCACGGGTTATTCCTTCTAAGCAGGGCTAGGCTGTATATCATCATACGCACCTTACACAGGTAAAGCTGCATCCATTTGGGAGGGGAAATGTCTGCAATTAGCTCTGCAGGTGATCAGCGCTGTAACAGCACATACGGGCAGATTAGCGCCTTCCGCTGTGATGCTTTTTGAATGGTGCAATATATGAGGCGACCCCACAGCGTGCTGCATGAATGACTTATTTTGGTAACGACTGCTCGCTAATCACGACAGCCTCTTTCTCTGGTGGTTTGGGGGCTCTGCACTGTTGCTGAATTGTTTAGTGCCTCTTGTGTGGTCCGCTCTAACATATCACACAGTCACAGTTCAAATCTTAATTTTTATGCGGTTTATGAAAACTAATGGAATTTAAGTTCTTCCACCAACAGGAAAAAATCAGGTTGCTACGTAATTTCTCGCTGCGTGGTTTTTTTTTTTCCTGTAAACTTCATTTGAAACAGTTGAAGATCTCTGTTTAAATGTGTTAAGTGCAATAAATTTCAAAGGGGAAGGAAATTTGTGCTAAGTAACCCAAATTGATACTTGATTTAAAGGAACTTCCATTGAAAAGAGGACAATCCCTTTGGAACAGTCTGGCTGTTTAAAGTTCTGCTTATGCATTTAAGGCACCAGAATTATTTCTCTCACAAAGTTTAACAGCAACCTGATACTGAAAA